TAACCCAACTGAAAAATGGGCAAAGAACTTTCATAGACATTTTCCCAAAGAATATACATAAATGGCCAAAAGCACATAAAAATGTGCTCAACATCAGCAATTAGGAAAATGCAAATCAAAACTACAATGAGATACCACTTCGTATCCATTTGTCCAGCTACAATTAATAAAACAGAAAATAACAAAAGTGTTGGTGAGGATATGGAGAAATTGGAACCCTTGAGCACTCTGGTGAGAATCTAAAATAGTACAACCACTGTAGAAAACAATATGGTGGTTCCTAAAAAGAAAATTAAGAACCAGAATTACCATATGATCAAATAATTCCACTTCTGGGTACAATCAACAAAGAACTGAGAATCATGTCTCGAAGAGATATTTTTACAACTATGTTCACAACAGCATTATTCACAATAGCTACAATGTGGAAGCAATCCAAGTATCCACTGATGGATGAATGGATATGGAAAATGTAGCATATTTATACACAAACACACACATAGTGGAACATTACTCAGCTGTCAAAAGGAAGGGAAATCTGATATATGATACAAGAGGACATAATACTAAATGAAATAAGCCAGCCACAAAAAAACAAATACTGTATGATTCTACATATATGTGGTCATTAGAGTAGTCAAAATCAGAGAACCAGAAAACAGAATTGTGGATGCCAAGGGCTGGGTGCGGGGAAGGAGGAAACGAGAAGATATTGTATAATGGGTAGAGAGTTTCAGTTTTGCAAGATAAAAAGACTTCTGGAGATAGATGATGGTAATGGCTGCACAACAATATGAACACACTTAATACAACTTAACTGAAAATTTAAAAATGGTTAAAATAGTAAATTTTAAGTTATATGGATTTTACCGCAATAAAAAGAGTTGGTAAAAAATATTTAACCTCAATCTTACTATAAAAATGCATCACACAGAAATTTAAGGATATGTTACAAATTAAGTAGCCTGTTCTCTTTTTTGTCATACTCATGACAGAAGACAGACTACAGCATTAATTTCAGATTAAAGGAGGCTACAGTGTCATGAAAACTAAACGCAATGTATGGACTAGCCAAAGGACCTGATTTTTTTTTTTTCCTATAAAGTACATTATTAGGGCAATTGGTAAAATAGAATTAAGGTCTGTAGATTACATAATAGCATTATATTAATGTTAATTTCCCAGTTCCACCCATTGTACTGTGGTAATATTCATGTTCTTAGAGAAAAGTATTTAGTATTACAAATATTAGTATTTAGAGGCAAAGTGGCATGAATCTGCAACTTCTAAATGGTTCACAAAAAATAATAATATAAACACATAGGAAGAGAAATCTGACAAAGCAGATGTGGATGATCTGGGCAAAAGCATATATGGCATTTCTCTGTACTACTCTTGCAACTTTCTTAAAGTCTGAAATAAAAGAACTGTTCAGAATTAAACAGAATATGGGAACTGCAGTCAGGTGTTAGTGTGTAATTTTAAGGGTTCACCTATATAATCCAAAATATGCTATTACATTTAAGATTACCATTAAAATAACAATACATCAAATCATGTGTTAGATTACACTAATGATCCAGTCACCTACAACCCAACACTCAGATGTTTTGTGAAATTTAAAAGGTCTGGGCCTAATGAGGTGGCTCATGCCTGTAATCCCAGCACTTTGGGAGGCTGAAGCAGAAAGAATGCTTGAGGCTTGGAGTTTGAGACCAGCCTGGGCAACAGCAAGACTTGATCTCCATAGAAAAATTTTTTAAAAATTTGCCAAGTACAGTAGTGCGCATCTGTCGTCCTAGCTACTCAGGAGGCTGAGGCAAGAAGATCACTCGAGCGCAGGAGTTGGGGGTTACAAATAAGCTATGATCATGCCACTGCACTTCAACCTGGGCAACAGAGTGAAACCTGATCTCTATGAAAAAATAAATAAATAAATACATAATAAAATGTCCAGAGGCAATAGGATGCTCTGCTCTGGCCATACCTCTAATGTAATTACTTTCATGTTATGTGGAAGTTGTAAACTTGTCTCTTGCACAAATGGACAGTAGATTCCTAAAGGACAGAGGCAATGTTATATTCTTCTTAATATCTGTATGAATGCAATAACTCCAAAAAATTGAATGAAAACCAATCCATTCCAAAGCATATATTTGAATATTAAAAAAGACCTACGTACACATACATACAAAATTAGCTATAAAGCATTTGAACAATACCTTAATTAAATGATAGCTCTTCAGAATTGATAGAAATAAAGGTTTAGAGTATTTACTCTTGGGTAGAAATAAGTCTCTGGATTTAATAAGCCAGTATCATAGAGATTTAGTAGTTACACCCCATTTAAAAGAAGTAGCATCTGTTTTATGTGGAGGAGCTGAGGCTCTCAGAAGTTGAATAATTTCCCCACCATCACACAGGTAGAAATGGGTGAGGCTAGGAAATAGTGGAGTCAGGTCTGACTATAAAGTCTATGCTCTTTCTGCAACTTTGAGCAGCCATTCCTCTGTACCATTTCTCTGTACCATTCTGTATAATAAGCATGATAGCTCCTATTTGTAGAGGGCTTTCCTAAAGCTCAAATGACATGATCAACATAAAAATACTCTGAAAAGTATAAAAGTGTTCTACAAATAATGAAAGATAATATGCTTTAAAAAATTATCATCTATCTATTAATATCTATCGATCGATTGATCTATCTTTCTAATTTGCCTGATCTCAAACTCATTTTGAAGTAGTCAGGGTAATGTTATTTGTTCCCCATTTTAATAGACGAAGGAGGTATAAAACTCAGAGAGCATAAGTAACTTGTTTGAGTGACAAAGACAGGACTAGACTCTAAATCTTTTGTTTTCTCCTTCTATTTCATCCTGATACATCTAAATGTGAAGTAGTGGATCTTAAAAAGAAAAATCATATCCACTTAAAAGATTAAAATTGTGTAATATGTTAAATATGGGTTTCCAAATTTACTTGGGAAAAACATTTTAATTCATTATATGAATTTTATAATATACATGTTATACTTGATTAATTAGGAATACACTTATTCTAGAAAATGAGGCATACCACTGGCTTCTCATATAATACAACATAAACTGTTAAACTATCCTGCACTGACATTTATAGTGTATTTAAAACCTAAAGTGAGGTTAGGCAGAACAAATATGCCTTTTTCTTGTGTGTGTATTTATATATATATATATATATATATCTTCATATTTTAAAAAACTTGTTCTTTACTGTCTCAAAGAAATATGAGATAACACTAATAACATGAACATCTAAGATTATGTGTCACCTGCTATGTTGTGTACTTCACATGCATTAATTATCCTCTCAATCACTATAAAAACAGCTCAAGTTAGGACTACTATTCATCTTCAGTATTACAGATGAATAAAAACATGCTCAGCATGGTTAAATAAACTGCTCAAAGTTACATAGCTAGTAAGTGGTAGAACTGGAATTCCAACCCAGGTCAATCTGACTCTAAAACCTGTATTTTTAACTACAAGGCTATGCAATATATCAACAACTTCCAAGTGTAGTGGGAATGTTAAGTTAGGGACACTTAGAGTAAATAAATGAGAGAATTATGAGTAGGAAAAGGCAGGCTTCCAACTGGATACAAGAACAGAGAATGGTACAAAATCTCAAAGGATCCAGAAAATCGTTTTAACCAAAAGGTGGATAGAAGTGCCAAGAGTAAAATAAACTTTCAGTTCTACTTTTAAAAAATGATACCAATAAACTTTATATACTTGGAAAGACATTACATCATTATGATGCTATTAATATGATAACCCTTAGCTGCTGACTCAGAATTACATTTTACATATAAATTCAATTTCTTCTCTGCAGTATAAACAAAATATCCATTTGGATTTATCTATTCAATTCTTGGTGGTTTTATAATGACTTAATTTTTAATGATTTTCATAAAGGGTTAAAGATTATATAGAAGTATTTTATAATCGCTACAATTGAGTCTTATTATTACAGAAATATTATAATGAAGTCATTGTAATTTCTCCTAGAATCCTATTTTGTATGAATGTTCCTACTGATTTCTACTTTTTAGGAGGGGGGAAGGGCATTCAGATGTGAACAATCATAGCTGTTATCTCATTTTTTTCCCCAATAGACCTTATTTTGAAATTGCATTTATACAGCAAATATATGTTTACCTAGATTTTTGCTATAGATAAATAACAGTAAAAATATCTATAGACACATTTATTTACACTTTAAATGAGATAGAGATCTCTCACACCAAAGATCGTTATTATTATATTAATAATATTACCATCATTTTGACTTTGGATAACTGTTCGAAGGGCAGTTAATATCTCAAGAAACTACCTCTTGGGACTAGTAAAACTGTGAAAACAAAAAATTATCAGATTTTCTAATATTTGCCTCTTTAAAAACTATTACATATTATTTTTTTAAATAAGTTTGATTTTTGAATGGTTTTAGATGTACAGAAAAGTTGTGAAGATAACACAAAGAGCTCCCACATACTCCAGATACACCAGCTATTATTTTTAGCTAATAACAGAAGAATATTTTCAAAGAAGATAAATATATACTGTGAAACAAAGCACTATATAAAATTATACATCCAGTATAATATCAGGAATACAATGATTTTTACTATCTTTATGAAGTAACCAAAATTTTCCAAAGCAAAAATATTTAAAAACTATTTTAAAAAGATTTATAAGTAGAAAAGACCTGTATATCTAAGGAGGTTCAATATTATGAAGTTAAGTTTAGAATGTGTCCTACTTCATAGACAACCTAACAAAATGGCAAATGTTGAACACACATTTTATATTAAATTCCAAACAGTTCCCTAAAATTACCAATTGAAGCCCTAAGTAAATTACCAAATCTAACAAAAAACAGCTAAAACAATTTTAAAAGAATACAAACAAAACATTAAAAGCAAATAAAATTTTTATAAAGAAAAAGAAACTAATAAAAACCTGTGGTATGGTGGGTAGGATGACAGTATTCTCAGCAGGGACTGGCAGGACAGGGATCACAGGGACAGTGGGAGAAGAGGGAGGAACAGCTTCTGTTGGCTAAAAATCATCAATGACAAAAAATCAGGAAAAACGCCAAAATAAAAGGGAACACATAACAAAAAATTGTGCCATAAAGATAAATTATAGTTTTCAGAAACAATTAAGAAACAGGTAAAATATTAATATATTATAATTTAAATGAGAAAATGCTCAGCAGAAATTATTTTAGAAATAATTATACCTCCAATAATAATTTTAATGTCTCTATAGTTAAAAATACTCTTTACATGTTTCAATGGAAATAACGAAAGATAATCACTTACAATACTCCCCCTCTAAGAGATAAGACACTTGCTTCATGGAGTGCAAAATATTATTTTAGCATTCATTATATATTTGAATGCAAAGAGGAAAGCAGTCAAATAAGTAATTTTATTAGCCCATCAGGCAGATAATGAGAGCTTATAAATCCACAGATATAAGAGTCAAAGGGCCTCAAAACAAAATTTATGACATTTTAAATAATCTGTGCTATTGACCTTTATTAACAAGAATAGTAATAACATGCCTCAGTCTATAAGTAATTAGTTCAACTAACATTCATTAATTGTCTACTATATACCAGACATATTTGGCAAAAATGAAAAAAAAAATTAGAGAGAACTCTTGTAATTTAAACTAAGAAGTTTTAGCACTTATGCTTAATTACTTGGCTCAAATAATTAAACATAAATGTTAATGTTATTTAGATTGATTCATTATTTAAAAAAAATGTAACTGGAACACAGGAAAGATGTTTTGTAATAAGACCCTATCCCTAAGCTGGATTAATCCATAAATATTTGCATACAAATGACATATATATATAAGAAAAACACTAAAATCAAGTGGATAAGAGGACAGGATGCATTAACAGACTTAAAACAGGAAGAATAAACTGCTAAACTTTAAACGATGTTTATCCTCACTGATAAATACAAAATGACAAAGATGACCTTTTCTTTTCCTATCAAATTAGCCAATCAAGATTTATTTGACATGTATGGAGTCTCTTCAACAATGGTGCTGAGACAACAGGACATCCACTTGCAGAAGAATGCACCTGGACCCCAACCTCACATCATATATAAAAATTAACTCACAATAGATTAACAACCTAAATATAAGATCTAAAACCATAAAACTCTCAGAAGAAAACATATAGGTAAATTTTCATTTACCTTGTGTTTGGCAATGGATTCTTAGTTATGTCACCAAACACGTTAAGTGACAAAAGAAAAAAATCAATTAGATCTCATCAGAATTAAAACCTTTTGTGCACCAAAGGGCATTGTTAAGGAAGTGAAAAGACAACCTATAGAATGGAAGGACATATTTGCAAACCATATATCTGATAATGGTTTAATATTCAGACATTTAAAGAACGCCTACAACTCAACAACAACAAAGTAACTCGACAACCTAATTAAAAAAATGGGTTAAAGACTTGAATACACATCTCTGCAAAGATATACAACTGACCAATAAGCACATGAAAAGATGCTCAACATCATTAGTCATTAGGGAAATGCAAATCAAAGCTATAATATCACTTCATATCTATTAGGAGGGTAGACTATAATTAAAACAAAACAAAAAACAACAATATAACAAGTGGTGGCAAGGATGTAGGAAAACTGGAACCCTCATGCACTGCTGGTGGGAATATAAAATGGTAGTCTCTGTGGAAGTTTGGTAGTTTCCCAGTATTAGCATGTGATCCAGCAATTCCACTCCTAGATATATACCCAAAAGAAGTGAAAACAAGGACTCAAATAATTGTACGCCAGTCTTCAATGAAGCATTATTCACAATAGCCAAAAGTGGAAACAAGCCAAGTGTCTATCAGTAGATGAATGGATAAACAAAATGTGGTATATACATACAATGGATGTTCAGCCTAAGAGAAGAATGAAATTCTGATACAAGATAGAAGCTGGATGAACCTTGAAAACATTATGCTAAATAAAATTACCAGATACAAATGAACAAATTGTATTCTACTTAAATGGTAAGTTCTGTTATATATATTTTACCACAATAAAAAAAATTCCAAAAACCTTTCTTGAAATGCATGATAACATGTCCTCTCACATTCCTGCTGGATATATAAATTCATACATACTTTAGGAAAAGCAATTTGGCAATAAAAAATATCTAGAGCTTTAAAAATGTCTAAACTCTGATCTAGTAATTTTGGAAATCTACCCTAGGGAAATAATTTAAAAATCCAATGTTTTAATATTCATAAGGCATTCTCTTGAACATTGTTCATATTTGGGGAATTGTGGAATATTCTAAATGTCCAAATGTGTCAGAATGGTTAAATAAATAATTACATAATGTTAAATATTATGTAGCAATTAAAAATTATCTGTGAGAATAGTTTAGAAGTCATGGGGAATTGCTTATGACATAACATTAAGTATAAATGGAAAGATGAAATCAAGTAAAAAAAAAAACAATAGAAATGTTTGAAAAGTTAATCTCTGGGAGAATTATGAGTGGCTTTTTACCCCTGCTTCTTTATTTTGAATTCTAGTTTTCCAATTGTCAACAATGAATTATACTGTAAATGCAGGGTGAGTGACAGGAGATCTACTGTGCATATTAAGAGACAAACAATTATCTTTTACTATGGCATTCTCTAGAAAATAAACTGAAAATATATATCACATTAATTTTTCTAAAAGATACTACACATTTCAATGATGTAATAAGAATATTAGAGTTGAAGAAGCTAAGGATCCAGTTTAATCCTTCCTTTTCAACTGAAGTTCAGGTTACAAAAGAAAGGTTGTCTAAGCTTCAGGGAATTAAGAAAATACTTCCTATATTCCTGTAACCTGGATTTCTTATGTCCTGTAGAAAGCGATTTTTAAACCATTGAATTTTGCATTCTCTCTCTTGCTCTCTAATGTTCCCAGTCCAAATTAAGTCCCCAGGTTGGGATGATGAAAAAGTTCTGGAGATATAAAAGTGGCAATATTTGTACAACATTGTAAAACGTACTTAATGCTATTGAATTCTACATTTAAAGATGGTTAAAATGGTAAATTTATGTCATGTATATTTTACCACAATTCAAAAAAAGCACACTGTGAATAAAGCCTCTGTGGGTTTGGCTTGGGATGCCAATCACCATTTATATATTGCTCTTATAGAAAAAAAAATTCTGAATTCCATGAAATTAAAATTAATTACAATGGTCACCAATTTTCATTGGAATACTTACATGACCTTTTAAAAATGTTTGAAAACTCATAGGTTCTGACTCCTAATTTATGATTAAGTATGAGAAAAGGGTGGTTTTGAAAGATTGTTGCTGTATCAACTGGATCGATCTATGAAAACTCAAATGAATACTGATCCCTACCTTAAACCATACATAAAATCAATTCCAGATGGTTTGCTCACATAATTGACAGAAGTAAACAAAATAAAGCTTCCAAAAGATAATATGGTAGAATATTGTTATTACCTTGGTGTAGACCAGTGACTTCTTAAACAGGAAAGTACACGTTGTTGAAGCCCAAGTGGGGTGAGGAGAGTATCTGTGTGCAGGGAGTAGAGGGGAGGCAGCAGCCTGGCACAGGGTGTTAGAGTCTGGGCAGGGTGAGGAAGGTGTCACACGGGCAGAGCAGTGGCAAGAGTCTGATGTGTTGTTTGAAACCAAGTGAGAACAGAGTATGTATGAGGGAGCAGTAGGTTTGGGGGATCAGTAGGGTAAATCTGTTGGAGCTTGGGCAGAGTGAGGAGGGTATCCATTTGGACAGCAGATAGTAGTAGGAGATGGCTTAAATATAGGAGATTTTGATTCAATGAATAAATACATAAAGGATAATAGGAATAAGGTTCCTCACATCAGAAAAGAAAGTTACAAATACAGAATGGTAGAAAATTAGCATAAGACCTACGGTGTCAGACTAAAATTGGAGGTACTGGCATAAACGTGTAGTTTTATGTGTATACAACACACACACATACACAGAAATATAGCCATAAATGTGTGTGTGTGTATGTACATGTATGTACATATATTCCCTAGCTCTGCCCACTGAGAGGACCTGGGAATAGTTAATATCACAAAAGCATGAAAATATCTAGCACCAAGATCTTGATTTCTAAATACTCATTCTCCAGTAAAACAAAACAAAACAAAACATGGGCCCTTGGAAAAATGGCTGATCCCAGTGCTAGAGCTTAGCAAGTACAATATGAGACTAGACATCTTGCTGTGCCAGAAAATAAAGAAGTGCTCAAAGAATAATGAGGGTATGACAAAGGACATGGAAGTTGGCTTGCAGGGCTGCTATTGGCTAGACTGAGAATGATATGAAACTCAATAAATAATGATAACTATGGCATAAAGCCACTGAATAAAATAGGAATCTGGGAGTCCACACTGATATAAGTAAATACACGTATAGATAAATGGAGACAAGAGACAGCATTTCCTTATAACTGAATGCCAACTAAAAAATGTTAGAATGATGGAACTACAAAATCATCATTTGGCAACTATCATAGTATTGATTCATTAAAGAAACATCAGTGGATGTTAAAACTTCCTGCTGCTGTTGAGTGGAACTTCCATTCCAGTGGATGAATGTTTGAATGGATGCATACACACACAAAAGTAACTCCCTTCAAAACACTTCTTAATTATAATGGAGAAACCTAGGAGATATTCTTTTAATCAAGTGATCAAATTTAACATCCCAGTAATGGGATAAATCAAAATCATGTGCTATCTGAAAGAATGTAATGAAAGCACACCATTTCTGTGATATTCCCATCAAAGATGTATAACCTGAATCTAATCATCAAACATCAGACAAACCCAAAGTGAGTGATATGCTACAAAATAATTGGTTGTAGTCATCAAAATGTCAAAGTCATGAAAGTCTAAAGATTTTCTTAACTTCAATTCTATTTTATTTTTAAAAATAGCTTTACTGAAGTAAAACTGAAATAAAAACTGCACATACTTAATGTATACAATTTGATGAGTTTGC